GCAGGAGTTGAATGTCTGGGGAGTTTTCAAAGCTAGTGCCTGATCCACCCAAAATTGTCCGAGAGCTTTGTGGTTGGAGGACTCCAAGAGTGGGATATCTGTGCCCAGCTTCTGGAGAGCTTCTGAGAATGCCAGTGCAAAGTCCTGACTTTAATATGACTCAGCAGCTGCCTCAGAGTTGCTGGACCCTCAGAGCTGCTGCCAACTTTGCTTAGTTTGATCCCATAGGAAACCTGAAGGCTGTACATGCTGAGAAGCCTGGCCCTGGCTCCGAGATAACTCCTTGCACAGTCGGTGTGCACCAGTCTCTGCCCGGCTGTAGCTAGCAGGGCCTGTGCTAGCTCTTGCAAGACAACACAGTCGTTGCTATGTAGACTGTGCTTCCAGTGTGGTCAGGCTGCCTGGCTCCCTTTGCTCTGACTACATCTGCCTTCTTTATTCCTCAGGCGGTCTTCCTGTTTTCCCTGATCAAGTACACGCCCTTGAAATACAACAATGTGTACGTGTACCCGCCTTGGGGCTATGTGTTGGGCTGGCTGATGGCACTCTCCTCCATGATCTGCGTCCCTCTCTACGCCATCTTCATCCTCCTGAAAACCAAGGGAACCCTGAAGCAGGTACTGAGATCATGCTCAGCAGGCAAATTGTTAGTGCAATGCATCCAGCTTTCTCTGGACAACTCATGGGAAGGGACCCAGGGAAAATGCATGTAACACATTTCTCCTTTGAGAAGGCAAAGGGGTGGGGGTGGCGCTTCCCCAGCATGCCCTATAGCTCTGGCTGGTAATCTTGGAGGGTTTGGGGAGTCTCAGCACAGCTTCTAGGAAGATCATCAAGCGTCCAGGGTCTTCTGTGAGACGTCGGACTGTCACGTCTGGTGCAATATGTAAATATACGCAGAACATCTCTAATGCTCGCTCCACTGGAGAGCAGAGTACCCCCTCAGTGTGTGCAGTGCCAGAGTGGCTGAGAGAGGTCATGGGTGCATTTATCTCTGCCCAGCTCACCCCCGGATGTGGAGAGAGTCCCAGGCATTGGGAGCCTGAGCAGGGCATTTCTAGGCTCTGGTCAGCTGCAGCTCCCAGAAAGGCTGCTTGAGGCCACAGGCTGATTGTCTTGATTTATAGTTTGGTTGGTCCCAATGACCATGCAAGTAAAGGTGGCATAACATCGTCTTTACCTCCTCTTCCTTTACTAACTAGTACCAGTGCAAGCCAGACACAAAACCAGGAACTGTTTTACCTTTACCTCTTGTCTCTTGTCCCTGCTCCCTTTTTAGTCCTAGGTCAGGACTGTGTTACTTTCTCTGAAGAAATTGCACATAGCTATTAAGGAGGAGATGCTCACAGAGCTCCAAAAATCTACTCTGTGCCATGCCCATGCCTCTTCTATTTTACTGTAGGCATCCTGCCCTTGTCAGAGCTCTGGGCAAGGTCCTAGGAAGAATTGTGCCTGGGAAAATGGCTTACATGGAGGTGTAATCCATGATCCATGGAAGAGGACCTGAGTGATATGCAGCACATACAGTTTTCAGCACAGTTTCTCTCCCTGTCCTTCCCCCCACTGTTGATTGCAGGCTTGATCACAGCTGGGTGAGGGACTGCAGGTGAGCAGTGATCAGGACTGTTTCTGTGGAGGTGGTGAAGGTGTGCCAGTCACACTGGGAGACTTGTGGAGACGAGGACCCTGCACTGCTAATGCAGCCAGGAATAAGCTGGGTGTGGGACATCCTCTTAAGCTCTATCTCCTCAGGGAAGGTGAATCTATGCCCACACAGATCTGTGCCCCTTATTTGCTGTCTGGGAATTGTGACTTAACAAGGAGTGACGGGCACTGCGGAAGAGCTGGCTAATGCCCATCTCAGATTCAGAAGAAGTTAGGAGGCAATGCCTGGACAGAGGGAGAGGAGCAAAAGCCTTCAGAGAAATAGTGAGAGAGGCATAAATGATGCAGACAGGGAGGTGGAGGAGAAAGACAATGCAATGAAATGGGCTTCTAGCTCCCTTTGACTGTTCAGCCTCCTGGTTACCGCTGGTGGCTGTGATGAGATGAGGGGTTTGTGGGGGAGCCCAAAGCCGTGCACTCCACGAGCGATGCAGCCATCTCTGCTGGGAGCAGCATGGAGGGGCTGGAGCTCTGCCCCAGGGTCTGCCCCAGTGACTCCTAGCCTCCTTGGCTAATGGTTTGGCTTCACTTGCCATCCATAGGGGAGTAGATAGGAAAGGCTCATTAGTACCTGAATTAGCTTAATGCTGCTGGAGAGGACCTTACAGCCTGCTGTAGTTTTTGGACCAACTCATTTCAGCTGGGAGTGGGATTTAAAAAAAACCCTGGGATGGTAACACTAGTATATTAACATGTAAAAAGCCAAGTTAGCCAAAAAGAGTCTCTGGCCAAAAACACACAGAGGTGTTTCCTGTGTTATTCCTGTTTAAAAAAAGGAAAAAAAAAGGCTTAGTGTAAGGCTGTGCTAAGGTATTGGCACCCTGGAAAATAAATTATAATTTTCCTTGGCAACTGAATAGACCTTTAAGGAAAAGCATCTAAAGACTTCCACTTCCATGACTCTTTCAATTTGGAAATGTAGCCTCCTAACATGAGAAAGTCCAGGTGAATTTTTTGCCACGTTTCTGTGATATGATTTGCTCCAAGCTTAGGTCTTGAGTCCTGTCTCTTACAGCCCTCTCCTATGCTCATTAGTGGTAACGCATCTTCCCTTTCCCATGACCAGTTTGAAGAGTTTGACCATGTGGCTAATAACAGATCAGAGGTTTCATATGTCAATATAAGGACTCAGAGCTGTCAGTGAAGTCATGGCCCGAGTGTCCTACCTGTTAAACAAGCAATATTTTCTACCTGTAGCAAAGTGCTTTGAGTTCTGAATTGCTGCTGTGAATGCTTATTTTATGCTATGTCCAAGGGACTGATTTGGCCAATTCAGATTGAGGGTTTTTCTATTTTCCCTGGTTTAGATGATATTAGATGTAATTTCCAGCGACTTCACAGTTACGTTATTGTGAAGAAACTTCCAAGGACACAATTTAGGAAAGCAGGAAGGAACCAGTAGCCAAGCCTGGGCTGATTCAGGGGAGAATCAAAACACACCATACAATACCTCTTGGAGTATTTGCTCCAGTTCTGAAAACTAGTTTTCTCAAAATATACCTGTTCCCTTTTTCCAGTCATGCCCACAAACGTAATAAATTAATTTGCTGACACAAATGCTTCCAGGTACAGTGCATTTCAGTTGAATCTTGCAAATGATTCATTGAAAGCAAGTTTGTACTTGGTAATTATGATCAGTCACTGCAACAAACTGATTCCTCTTGTTACACTTGGCTGATCAAGAAACATAAATATTGTTTCTTAATATGTCTGATTAAGACAGCTCAGTATCCAAACACTGAAAACTTGCAGTGATCTGCTCACAGAGAAGCTTTAGGCCAAGGCTGATTTCAGAAATTATGGGGCAAATACTTCTGAATAAATGAGAGAAAGCCTGAATTCTGGCAGGCGTTTCACAATGAGTGGAAGTGTTTGAAATTAATCAAGTGAGTCATGGATGAACTGCTTGCTTTGCTTGTGATGTGCTCTGTAAGTGAGGAGCATACACTGGCCTAAACAGTCTGTGAAGGGAAAAGTTAGTAACTGTGAAAGTCGGTATTAACTGGGGAAACGATATGCTGTCCCGTGAAGCTGGGCAGGTGGCTGCAGGACACGGCTTGTTACTGGGTTGTAGCAAGGAGCTCAGGGTCTCTGGACAGCTTGTGGTACCAGGGGGGGCTTCAAAAACAAAATGAGAAAGATCAGAAAATCACAGCAGCTGTCTCTGTGGGTTGAGAAAGGTAACTTTGCACATTTCACTCAAACGCTCCAAGTTCTTTGCACTTTTTTTAAATCACAAACTGCCCCAAAGGCCAGTAAGCTGGGACAAGACTAGGAGCTACCTGCAGGGCACCCCCCTGCAGCAAGGGTTGTGTTGCAGAGGACAGGGACAACCCTGCACGCCCTGACCAATGTAGCTGTGCCCAGGAGCATGGCAGGACGGGTAGGTAACCCGCCAGAGCACCATCTGTGAGCCTCGTTCCTCCTGAGGAGAGGTGGCAAGGGGACAGGCCCTGTGATGGTCCCTCAGTGAATGGCGGGGGGCTTCCCCCAAGCCCTGTCTGACCCGCCGTGGTTTGTCAGGCTGCAAGAGGGGAATGGGGCTGTCACCATGGGGCAGGACCTCCTCACCGCTGGGAAGGCAATGCTGTACCAATGCTGGGGCAGGTATCACCATATGACCTGTTTTATGGGAGCTGAAATGAAGGGCGCAGTGGTTTACAATCCTGACTTTTCTATTCCTTCCAGCCAGAGTGGTGGATGCCCAGCTCTTTGTATGGGCCAGACTGTTTTGAAAGCTCCACAGCTCCATCAAAGTCAGTGGGAAGCACTGCTGTGTGGCGTAAGAAAACAAATTGGAGTTTACAGAATTTTTTCCATGACCACAAAAAATGTCTGCGGTGAAATCAGAGGACTAGAGGCCATGCTAGCTAACCACTAGCATCCTTCCTCCCAGAAATACATCTGTGAGGAGCCCTGTGTGTTAGGACATCAGTCCGTGGCATGGATTTGAGCCTAGAGGTGGAATAATTGTCATTGAGACCACTTAAAGGTAGGAAAGTGAGCCTGTTCTCCTTCTTCTTTCTTGCACAGCTATTCAGTGGGAGAGGAGCAGGAATTTAGGAGCATTAGCTCTCCAGATGCCTTTGCCCCCAGCAATTGTTGTGGATTGCTATTGGGTGTCAGTTTGTTTATCAGCTTAATTAACAGAGACTTCCTCTATCTGCCTGCCTCTCCACAGCGGCTAATGCAGCTCATTTCCCCAGCGGAGGATCTGCCCCAGCCAAAGAAGAAGCATGTGGCTAGTGTGTCCGAGCCCTGGGACAGCTGCTGGCCAGAGCACAAAGGACTGTCCCCTCCTGTCAAGGAGGTGCTCAGCATCACCGAGAGAGAAACCCACTTGTAAAGCCCTGGGGATGTCTCCTTCGTATTCCGGATTGATTCCCTCTCTCCTTCATGAAGCAGTTTCCTTTCTCTTCTGGGCTCTTCCCTTCTCTCCTTCACATCTGAGACAAAAAAGCATCTGGGACACCCTTTCCTGCTGGCTGGCTGGTGGCATGGACTGGGCGAGCATTTCTTTTGACACCTTGAAGATGGATCTCCCCGTCAGCACCTGGGGAGAGAGCAAAATGATTTTGTCAGAGATGACCTCCAGTGCTGACACTGGGGAAAAAGAGGAAATCAAAAAAGCAGCAAACCAAAAAGAAAAAAGTGAGGCCATGCTGAGTGGAGGAAAGGAAACCAAAGTGGTAAGAGAGAGCAGAGAATAAAGGTGTGCAGGAGCAAAGTCAGGGATGCAATGGCACAAAATGATGGGGCGTTAGCGCAGGAAACAACTGAGTTGGTTCAGAAGTACATAAGAAGCCGGAGGATGACAAAGGAAAGTGCATTGCTAGGTCACCTACATATGAGAGAGAGAGAGAGAGAGAGAGAGAGAGAGCCAGCAACGCATCATAGGCAATGATAAAAGGAGGCTGCAGCATTAGTAGTTACAGCTTCGGTTGTCACTAAAAAGGAGGAGAGCGACAGGGTGCTTAATGTAATCATGGCTATTAATGAAGGATCTCAAGGCAGTCTCAGGATGGAAAGGGGAGAGGAACAGCTATCTACATGACTTGCTTTATTCAAACCTGCATGGTCCAGTGAAAGTGCATCCAAGAATGAAATAGCTGAACCTTTGACCGTTCTTTCAGAAAAATCATGGAGTGCAGGAAAAGTCCCAGACCAGTCAGTTAAAAATGAACTGTAGCACCGAAGGGAGAAATGAAACCCCAGGGATTGTACACCCACAAATTTAACTGCACTGCCAGGGCATTTTATAGAGGAATTAATAAAGAGTTGATGGGCCTCATTTGTACTGTAGAGTAGCTTTAGGGTGAGGGTGGGAGAAGGATTGCTCTCCCTCGGCTTTACTGCAGCTGACTGACTGCTCAAGGGATAAGGAAGACAGATAATCAGACACATTGATCCTAAGCTCAGGAAAGATAAAGGCATAATTAATAGGTAAGATGGGTTCATTGGAAACAGATTATGTCAAATTAAAGGTCTCTAGTTCCTAGGGTAGTCATGAATGTGACGCAATGGCTGGGAGGTATTTCGCTCGAATGCGGCGTTTGGTATGGTTTTATACAGCATTGTCCTGTGGAGACTGGGACTTTTTAGAGCGCGGCTGTAAAATGCAATGCCAAAGCCTACTTGAGCGCATACTGGAATTTCACAGTTAAAATCACAGAAAAAGCCAATGGTAGGTTCTCCTCAGGAGCTTTAATGTGGTCTGTGGAACCCATGCCGGTGGATGCTATGTTGCAGAAACGGTGTATCAAACCACGCAGGAGAACTGTCATTAAAAAGAATCACAGATGCCATGGGCTCTCGTCCCGCTTTTCCTTTGCCTTGTTCCAAGTAATTACTTGTCCCTGTGCTATGTGGAGATAAACCACCAGCGCTGAACGTAAGTGGGAAATTCAGGCCTCCTCTGTGCAAAGCAGAACCTTTTTCAATTGCTATGGGAACCTTATCTTTTGCAATTTTATGTGCATTTAACTGGTGAATTAGCATAGGGCAATTTTTCTCCTTTTAATTTCTTTTCCTTAAAAATTAAAAATAAAAATTGCTGGTGAAATGAACACTAAAAGGCAAGTATCAAAATTCATACCTCTCTGGGTTGTTGTAATTTGATTGGAGATGACTTACAATAAAGGTAGAGATAGCTGACAAACCTCATTCTTGGTTCCCTGCAGAGCCTTGCAGCATCACATAAAACACTATTTATTTTATTTTTTAAAGAGCTAAATGTCATGTTTCAGCAAAAGTCATGGGAAGTGCTTAATATCCAAGGGCTTGCAGTCAGGCCTCATGGTAAGTATTTTGATTTTTTTTTCCCTCTCCCTCCTAGTGGCTTTGGCCCATTCGATATTTGGTGAGGTGTTGCCCACGATTTGGTGGGCTGAGCAGCTCCCTTAGAGAGACTTCTCATGCAGCCAAAGCAAAAGCTGGCAGCTGCCACAGCCAGGGTCAAGGAGGGTACTGGTTTTGAGGAAGAAAAACTCATCTATTTTTCAAGCAACAGAAAGGGAAATTAAGGAGCAGGGTTAGTACTTGGTGTCCAGAGTCAGTCTTACGTCTTTACATGAGTTTCTTGCATGACCCTTGGCAGGACATTTAACCCCTTTGATCCTGTTAGCATGCCTTTAAGATGTACGATAGTGCTATGCTCCCAGGATGGTTGGGGAGATGTGTGCAGTCCTTTTCCTGAGGTAATCTCATACAACTGTGAAAATTCTAGATAAAAGTAAACTACTTCACATTTTTTTGATGCAAATATGGGGCTGTGTTATTGAAAATAACTACTATATGAACTGATTCCTCTGTTGCTTAAGTATAACCTGATAGCAGTGTTCTACCCCTGCTAGAAAGCACCTGATTCGAATGAAGTCAGAAGGGGCACTGCTGTCCCCATTGAAAGCAATTATAAAATTCCCAGGGTCAGGAAATTCATCCAGTCACTTTGGCTGGGATCAACAGAATCATGGGAAGTTTAAGGAAAGACTCAGTGACCCAAGTACACCCAGTCTGGGGAGCAGGGAAAGAAATCAGTAACCCCCCCCCCCCTACAAAAAACCTCAGCATAGCTAGAGATCAAATAACAGTTTCCTAAACTCTCATAAACATCTCCGTGGGGATTGCTGGGGAACTCTGAATCTATCCGAAGGGACACTGCTCCCTTCCTACACACCTGCCACCTTGCAATTGTACTGTTAGAAGGGATAGTACTGAAAGAAGACAGATATATATATTTTTTCCCTCTAATTATTGATACCAGGCCAAGAAGTAATGCATTTAAAGCTGCAGTCAAAGAGAAGTTATGAGGTGGCTGTTCCCTGCTGCTCCTGGAGGTCAGATAAAAGGCACTATACACAGTAGAAAGTACACACATCCTTCAAGCACCTAATTATCTGGGGGGGGGTTGTTTGTTTGTTTGTTTGTTTTTAGCTAAAAAGGTCTTCCCCTCCCTCCCTCCAGAAAGGAAAACAGCAAAATATTTTGTTAATAAATAAAAGAAGCAAAAAAGAAGAAAAAAAGATAAAATTAATGGCAAACAAGCCCGACAAGATGTTAAGGGTTATTTATTTGTTGGCCGCTGTCATCAGCATTAGCGTCTCAGCAGAGGGCCTGGACCAGAGGTGGAGGTGGGGGTTTTCCAGGCTGAGTAGACATCCTCTGGCCAACATGCTCTTGCCCTCTGCTGCTGAAGCCTTGCCTTTACTAAGCAGGAGGACTCTCAAGCTGCCGAGGATGAGGTAAATCCAGAAAGGAGCCTACTCTTTAACTTGCATGGAAACGGCAGTGTCCTGGTGAGGATTTTCTCCTGTGTGGGCCTGCATAACCTGACTGGGTGTGATGGTGTGGAGAAGGCCAAGGGCCGGTGTCAGCTGGCAGGGCCATGTTGCCACATGCCTCAATGAGCCCCTTCCCAAGTCCTTTTTGTAATTTTTGTTGTTGCTGTTCCAAAGGGAAATGTGTCATTTGGGAGCTTTTCCCCTTAAAACCTCATGAAAATGAAGGTGGTTCATGGTCCTGGCCGGACTGCTCTCTCCTGCACCTGGATAAAGGAAAGAGGAGCCGTGACATCCCTCAGGTAGCCCCAGGGCTGAGTCGGCCCAGGAGCCTCCTGGGGAGCCTCCCTGTCCTGTGTAGGCCATAGAGGGCTGCCTCCAGGCCCTGGAGGACCAAACAAAGCCCTTCTCTTTCCTGCTTGGGGAAGGACATCCCGTTCAGCGCTTTGGGTCAGGTGTCAAGGCTTGGATCGCGTTAGCCAGCAAAGGTGCTACAAGCCAGACCTGGTATCTACAGTGTGGGGATTTTTCATAGTTTTCATATAAATTCTTGCATTACTGCCTTTGTCCACCACAAAGTAATATATATTTCTTCTCATTTTCAGGATATCTTCAATTTTCATTACTCCAGCCCTCAACATAGTTTTTTCAGATGGAAGAGACTTGCATTGGCATTTGACTGTGGAAAGGGCTCAGCTCCTGACCCTACCCCTGCCCCTAATAACCATGGATGGTAGCCTGAAGGCTGACGACAGTGAACTGCTGCAGCTCCCAGTGAGCTAGAGAAGCAGCTATGCCCTACTTCCAGCCTTAGCTCATGTTAGCTTTTTGGGTGGACAGAAGCTGTGCCCGTGATAGCCATAGCACAGTGGATAGTTACTTTTCTTTGCTGCCAAGGGGTTGGAGCTGCAGGTTTGTCCTGACTAAAGCTCTTGATTTTCCCTTGGTTCTGTGAACGTATTACACCTTTCCAAGGGCCAGCAGAGGACAAAGGGCAGTAGGGACTGAGTTGAAGCAAATGGGGCACTTTTCTTTGGGGAAAACCTATGAGAGAGCAGTTGAGATTGATTCCTCAAAGGTCAGTGATCTTGGCTTGTGCTTGCGCTGTGTGAGTAATGGAGGCTCTGTCTGCAGCCACTCTCTGGTTTGTGTTTGAGTTTGGGAGTTTGCTGGGGCTGCCGTGAGTGTTTGCTGTTGTAGGTGTGTGGAAGGAGCATTAGGCTGTGAATTGGTTTTGAAGGGAGCTGGGCCTTGCCCAGGTAGAAATAAGAGACAGTAGACAAATGACTTGGTTGCCCAGCAAGCAAGGGTAAGCACACAGGGCTGTCTGCATTCATGAAGGTGTAGAGAGCTTTGGGTCATCTTGTTCTTTCTTTTAGTAGTTTATATGCACTTAAGTATAGTTCACCTCCAACTCCTTAGCTTTGCAGGGATTGAACAGGGTAAGAGGAGATTAATATTAATCAAAGGAGAAGATAAAATAATGCAAGCTTTCAAAAAGTAAAAATCATTAAGCACCGGACTCAGGTGAGTGCACAGCAGCAGAGCAGGACCTTCCTAGTTTTTTGAACAGGGTGTAATGTGAAAGGTTGCCCTCTGAGGGCATAGGCTCCGCACATGTACACACAGAGGAAGCAGCTCCCAGTACCCAGCAAATTGGTTTGCTCTGACCAAGAGAGTGGTTGAACTGAGCAACTGAGACAATGCGGGGGGTTCATAGGTGAGACCCGTGGGGGCTGTTGTGAAACTGCCTGCCCCCCCCCGTGGCAGCCCTTGTACTGCTGAGGGGCCCCGTCCGAGGAGGGCTGTCATCTCTTTGGTAAGAACCACCATCCAGCTGATACCCCATTATCCCCTTGTGCTGAGGATGCTCCTGCAGCAGAGGTCATCTCCAAGGGCAGGAGGATGGTAGTTGATTCTGCTGTCAGATGCACAGAGAGCTGGTTTGTCTTGTCCAAGGGGACTGTGTGGTAACCTGCCTCCTGGGCATCAAGGCAGCTGAGCTTGTGAGATGCCTTGGTAGGCTGCTTGCAGGTGTCGGGGAGAAGATGGTGGTTATGGTCCACAGTGGTACCAAGGGTGGAGGGATGTTCTGGAGGCTAAATACAGATGGCTAGACAGGAATCTGAGGATTAGGATTTGAGACCTGAGGGGCTGAAGAGATGTGTATACACTACCGTTCAGTTCCTTCCACAGGCTGCAGAAGAGGACTGAAGCATTAAAGACTTTATTACTGAATCTCTTGCTGTGGCCTAGGAAACAGAAGAAACGTTTCTAACAATGCTTGCTTTTTTTGGTTTGGTTTGTGATTTTTTTTTTTCACCTAGAATAGCCTGACCCGTTGAATGCTCTTGGAACATGACTCTGGATCTGTTTTGAATCTCTGACCCATGACTTGTCTCTGCAGAGGAGGACATATATTTTCAGAGCTGTCTGTTCTCGTTTGTCAAGCCTGGGCTTGGAAAGTCATGTAGAAAGGAAAAGGATTCCCAGGGAGAAATGCTTTCAATGGCTGTGCAAAGACAATCACGGGCAACTCAGTCCTGTCTTGCTTTTGGTGATATGCCAAGACTATGCTGTGAAATGGCAGTATCTCAGTTTTTTTCTTCTCTTCCTACAAGCTGTATAATAGTTTCCTGCCCAGTTTGGGTTATGGCCAGGGCAGGGAACTTTATCCCATTAGTCTAGCATGGCTGTTCTGGATCAGAGGAGTGGTCACTCTTGTTCTTTCTCTGCGAGTGGCCACTAGACTTTTCCAAAATATGCTTTATCGAGTGTGAAGTTTGTGTTGTGCTATAGAACAGATAGTGGTCTCTTGGAGAGGCCTGACCAATTAGAGGCAGTCAGGTGGCTTTCTCAAGCTCATATTTCATCAGTAGTTGAAAGAAGCTTATTTTCTCACCTAGAAATAAACCCAACCTCACCCCCTCAAATAAGAAACAACCTGTCACTTTCCCACGTCCTGGACAACAGGACGTATCTTCCAAAATGAGTATCCCCTCCCTTTGTATAGATTTCTCTAGCTTTTGAGT